CGATCTAAATTTTTATTCAAAAAAACAAATATCTTGTTGTTGTTTTTTATTATTTAGAATGAACAATAATAAATACCATGAGAATTCATTTGGATTGTTTCATGGGAAGAACTCATTGTAACTGATTAAATGTTAAGCTAACGATGCCATTCAATGTCAATGAAAATATTTTCATCATTACTACAAGGGAAACATCAACTTAAAGAAGAATCAACGATGACAATAACAATTTTTACTTTGTATTTGGTACGTTAATAACCAATAGAATGAAGATATTTATAACCCTTCTTTTACAATATCGAACAGCGACCTCTGACAAAATATTCGTTCGTTTTTATTTAAGATCAGCTATTCAATAGAAAAGTTAACAATAACGTCGTTTCTCATCGGAACTCATCGAGTTTATTAAATAATCTAGAAGAGCAAACAGTTATTATTATGAGTTAGAGAAAAAAAATCTTGCACAAGATGAATGATATTAATCATGAAAAAAATATTTTTGATTGTTTTCTTGTATGTAATAGTTTAAATAAACAAATAGAACTATATATATATATATATATATATATGACTAATATGTAGATTGTTCTGGCATATGATAAACATTTTTCATATACTATTTTGTTTTTTCTTTAGAAGCAAAAACAAAACAATCGACAATATATCGGTCAGAATATTTGGTGAATCAAAAATATTACAATTAAACAAAAAAATGAGCTCAGTTATGATGAAGAAACCTTTTTTGCGCTGGTAAAACTTGAGAATTTTTATTTTAGTATCTCTTGTTTTGCTCACCAATAGCCAATAAAATCACTTTCAACTCTTGTAAATCTAATCAGTTGAAGAAAAATATCTTCGAATCAGTCAAGTGACTTAGTAAAGTTTCCAAGATCTTCTAATCTCAGCACATAATTTGGACCATTGAATATCAGTATAAGAAGAAAAAGTTTTTTTTCTACGTAGCTTTTACATCACCATCTAAAAGTAGATAGCGTCTAAAATATAATACCAACGTTTTTGAATAAACTTATCTTATTTTAATTACACAATAAATCGGCGATAAATTTGTTAAAATAAATAAATATTTAGATAAATAATGCATATCAATTGAAAAATATTAACATTTTGGTTATTGTCGAACAACTAATAGAACAATCCATTTGCTATAATCGAATATAAATGGATAATTCATCAACACTATTATAACGCATTTGGGACGTTTAGTTTGTCTATCCTAGTATCATACATAACGACTAATGTATTTTACAGTACGACAGAAAGAATAAAGAGCTTATCTAACCATATTGTACAAATCTATCTTATATATTTCTAATTTGTTAAAACAAAGAGAAAGTATTGTGAAATTTTTATGTTGAAAAAAGGAAAAAAAAGTTTTTTGTACTTCATCCTTTAACTTTCAAAATTATTTTTGTTAAAATTCTGTATTTTTTTCGTGAAATATTTCAATTATAAAGGTAATTAATTAAACAAGTAATTTAGAAATTTATTTTAATTTTTAACTAATAAATTGTTTTTGGAACATATACTAAAAATTTATGCAGTGAAGAGACTAATAATGATTCGTAGAACGTTTTTAAAGTTTTCCTATTCATCGATACTTTTGATTTAATGTTTTAAAGAAATATCAAACAAATTTGGATGTAGTTTTACTTGTATTTCGATGGTAACTATTATTAACAATGATAATTAAAGATGCCAATCACGATACTGACAGCTTCTAGTTGAAGAAAATTGTCTAGATTTGCATGAAACATTCAACAAAACAGAAATGTAAGACTTTGAGAGTCGATGCATCTCTCATAGGCTAGTAATTAACCAAAGTTCTATTTAAATACAAGATGAATCTCTCTGTTAAATATACTGTTTATAATCTGAATTCTACTTAGTATCGAAAATATAAAAATCAACGTTGAATGTTTTAACATTTATATCTTTTTATTAATATTTAACAAAAAAGAAATTTTATGAACGAAAATTTTAATGCTATAATTAATTAAAAGCTTCTTAAAACGATGATAACGAGACTTTAAGAATCATCTTTTGATCAATTCTAAAAAGACAATTGGTAGACAGAAAAATTTTTCCATCAATGTCAATTATTGTTTCACATGGAAATCAAAATAAAATCAAATAAGTCAAAGTAGTAACAATAAGCACTTGTCAAACTAAGGTAAATAAAGAATAAAATAAATCCACAAAGTTTATTTAGTAGAAGAAAACAAATGAAATTCAGACAAGAAAAGATTGAAAAAATAGTTTTATGAATTTAACTTTTTTGATTTAACTAATTTTTCAGTTTAGAAATGACCGATAATTGGAAAAACAAATAAAATAAACATAGTCGATCATTCAAAAGTTAAAAAAAAAGAAAAACAATTTTGTTGAACAAGATTCTACAGAAAGAAAAAATAGACACATCGAAATGAACAATTTTTGATGTTTCACAGGAAGATTTAATAAACGAGACAATTGAAAAGTTGCATAAATCTTCTTTACAGATGACGATATCCATTAACATCATCAATGTATTGTAAATCGAGATGTCAATCTAGTTTTTTTCGCAAATGATACTTACTATTTATTTATGCATTACAGAACAATCGAGTATATTAGAAATAAACTATTCGATAAATTTCTTTTTACTATTTGTTTCATTTATTCGAGATAAAATCTAATATTAGAAATAAATTCATGTACAGTTCTTGGTCTATGTTTACTTCTGTGATCTAGGCAATTTCTGGTCGGTGTTTCGTTCTTCATCGTAATATGAGTCTGAGTCCACCTGATCAATAACGTCATAGTAGCTTACCACAAAATGCTACATTATTATTCAACATGTAGATCATAAGATCTAGTGTATTCCAGCATTGCGCCTCTGTGCATCTTCATTTCCAGACACGATATGTGTCGAGAATAATTAGACTTCAGACCTATCATAGTTGCTTGGGCAATCGTTTTTTTTTTTACAATTTATTCATAGGTGAAATGTTTAAAATAGCATCCAATGTATTTGGCGCTACACGATAACGCGTAAACTAAATACAAGAATGAAATGGGTCCGTAGAAATTTTTCAATAAAATCCCTGAATGTTTTGATACTTATAACATTTTTACAAGGGCTTAAAATCTCTCTAGACAATTCGAATATGTGTGAAATTTTCTTCTAACAACTTTTTCGGTTAAGATGAACGTAGAAATTCTTGTTCTCCTTGATTTGAATACTGATCGGCACCACTCTTATAGAAGCTTGGCTCTCTCAAGCGGAATTTTTCATGTTGACCGGTGTCTTCACAGTTCACTCGGATTTGTATTATCGAGTTTAGTTGATTCGTTCTCCTCTCAGAAAATAGATTACACAATAAAAATTTGAATGAAAAAAACTTTTTTCACATTGAACACACCAATAACATGGGAAAAACTTTGATACTTTCACTCATCAGTTCAAAATGTGATTTGAATGCGTGCCGATATGAAAAAATTAATTCCAGTGATTGTTCAACTTTGTAGGAAAACACTTTGATAATTGTACTGGGTAAAAATTTTAAATTACCAATGCTTGATTAGGTAGGTGGTGTCAATTAATTAGTTATTTTTAATACTTCCCTTCTCAAAATAATAACACACACACACACCCAATTCGAAACTGTAAAAATGTGGAAACTTCGGATTTCATCCGAGAGTTATGTGTACTGCAAAAAGTGCATGGGACATGTGAGTCATTCTAGAATGTCTGAACACCAAAATTATCATGAGAAACTAGGCAATTTGGTTTCTGGATGCAGTTTTTGTGCATTTCGAGACCTTTTTCAGGCGATGTTTCGTTAGAAAGCTATGATTTAGTTCAAAACTAGTATCAGATTCAGAATCAGCGTTAAAAACTGAGTCGATTTATACATGTTGTGGATAACTCTGAGAAAATGTTTTGTTTTGAAAAATCCCTGTACTCCCCCTCAGGGATGGTCTGGTCAAAAATGACAATTTTTTCGATAACTCAACCATTTCTTGACGGATCCTTCTCATCTTCGAACTCGACTGAGATATTAATGAGATCATTATGTGTTCAAAATTTCATGACAATTGGATGAGGCTTTCAAAGGTTATCGTGTTAACGGCCGGCCGGACGGACACACTGACCGAATCTAGAGTGTACTCATTTTTTTTGAGTACACAATAAAGTTGACATTAAAAAAAAATGACTATTATACCACAAAATAAAATTGTGGTATATCGACTTTGTTAAGATGATTTCTATTTCATGATGAACAATAAATTGATTAATTATCAAGAGATAATTTCTTTGACCACCAACACCATTTTGATGATAGAAAAGGACACAATGTTTGCGTAATCTTCTGGCTGTCTGCATTTTCTAACTCCTGAGATGATTGAGATTCATGTTCACAAACTAATTTCGCGTCTGATTAAATTAATATAGAAGAAACATTTATAAAGTTTCGAAATAATCTACCCATAACCCTATGATAATGATGTAACTTAGATTAATTCATTTTTCGCGTTCTATTTAAGATATCATTTTCTATCGATTGATTTTTTTGCATTTATTTTCTCTGTTCAGTTTGTAGAGTTTTCTTCTACAAATTTACAATGATTAGGACTATTTCAGATAGATTTTCTACAGATACAAAGTAAATAGATAGATAGATATTTAAATAACAGTCATTGACGGGATTAGTACGTACAGCATTGTATGACAATAACAATGTTGTATTGATAGTAAGAATATTTAAATTAATTAAAAATAATGTTTTTTTTAAATATTATTTATAGAAAATCTTACGAACAAAGTAAGCGAAAGATGTCGTAGACATTTTCTTGGTGTGTAATTGGTTGAAATATGGTATAATATGGATCAGCAACGTTGTCGGTTTCCCTTAATATTTTTGCCGACAGTACAGTGGTATAGTGTCAATTAACTAAAAAAACAGAAGCTTGGTTTTACTATAAACGCTACTAGAACTATGGTAAATCACTAAAGGATTCAATTTGAGATTGGAAATATTACTTTCTATTTCTAGGTTGAATTCAAAGGACCTGGCTATACAAGTAGTTATAACAATATCTTTATTATTATTCCGGCTATTATTATTGTTGTTCTAATTGGTTTGTTTCATTAAAACTCAATAATTTTCAATGAACATTTGTTTCTTTTATTAACAGGTTTTGTTGCTTATCGGTTGGTTGATAGTTTATTGTCTAAAAAACGACAAAAATTAGAAAAAGCACGAATGCGTCAACAGAAAAAAGGAGATCGACAAGTCTCACCTCAACCATCTCCTGGAAAACCAAAGCGAAAATAATTTTAGTTTTATCTACTCATATTTTACTTTTATTCTGTTGCATTCTATTGATAATAGAATTTTATTTGAACGAAAATAAAACATATACATACATGAAGATAGCAATAACCTTGTCATACTTCACTATAGTTATGATAACATCTGAAGTCGCGTGCTATTATGCTTTTGAGTTGATATTTCACACATCAGTGAGTGCCGATGAAACTTAGAAAATGTTAAAACCGCTATGTTCTAGATAGAAATTCAATAAAAAAAAACAAAAACAGGATTATAACTGTTGACCAATTGGTTATAGCTACAATGACTTCAAAATTTTCGAGTTCTAACTGAGTCTTGCTTATCGGCAACATATGATCTGAAAAACATCCATCAGTTGGGATACTAATTTCGTAACTCGATTCTCTCCATTGATGAAAATTGAAGTGAGCAAACGGAATGTATGATCGTGCTATCGAAATAAATCCCATCAACAATAGCTTGTGATCAATATCGGTTTTGTACTTTATACATTTTGATACAAAACATTCTTGTGAATTTCTGAAAATTCAATTCAGATATAAATATAATCATATTCGCAGTTAATAAAAAAAATAGAGTCAATTTATGAAAATAATCTATATGATAAAATACATACATCAAAAATAAAAGAATTCTAGTAGGCATTATTATCAATGTAGACTATCATATGCAGCATTGCAGAAAACATATTTCTAGACAATAATCTATAAGCAGCTCATATTTTATATCGGACATCTGAATACATTGCATCACTTTCGTTACGCTTATTTGAATACATTTCTCGTATATGATCTTCCTGTTAGACTGTTTTCTATTCCACCTTTTTTTCATCGTAAATAAAATCTCCATACATTGACTGTCCAATACTAGATCAGTGATAAATTTTGCACTCGTTGAAACATCATCGTTTCCAGGTCTCATTATGAAAATAAAATCACAGCAGTGCTACTTTGTATCGAATATTATGTCACGAAAAAAGATTGTTGTGTAATTGAAATGTGTTCCTAGAATCCCTTTGCTGTCACAATATTAGATATAACCTTAGGTCGATGAAAAATTATAATATATGTAAAGAAAACGATGATTCATTTGTATTTTTATTTTTCACAAAATCAAGTTTTTGTAGGGAAAAAGTGCTTGATCTCCCGTTTTTCAAATGTAATACGTTCAATCGAGCTGAATAATCTTGTTTTTTCTAAAACTAAAATACTGACTGTCTATCTTTTACGGTAAAAAAGTATTGTGCACAACTGGTATTTCAGTGCTCATAAAAAGCTTATAATAGAGAAACACTCATTGTTGAGAGAGTTTTCCGTATTTTTATTCGAATACAAAAATATAAGGTAACTGGAAAAATTGTCCCATGACAATATTCAGTAGGTCCTGAAAGAAAAGTATTCCTCGAGGAATTCATCTGTCAACGTCCTAATCAATTACCAAAATCTTAGTGAAAATCAAACTACCTTTGTAATCTCGATACCGGCATCGATTAATCTTTTTTTTAGAACTGTACTTGCCTTTCAAATAAATTGTTTTTATTTTATTCATTCAAGAATACTATTAGAATATTGTTTTTTTCTACAATTTAGTGTAATATAAACCTAACAGAGTAATTAGTAGCGTCGTTTTGAAAGAACAGTGTAGAATTTAAGCCGTATTGGTTTACCAATCAGTCATATAGCAACTCGTATTTTCGATAGAGACGTTTTTCAAAATTAGATTCCGATTTTTATGAATCGACGCAGAAATCATAACACAAATCTCAATGAAAATCCGATTATACAACTATGTTAGAAAATATTCGATGCTGTTCGAAAAAAATTGATTGCCGATTTGGTATAAACATCTTATTGTAGAATATGATAGGGAGACATTGAATGGAAGGAATTTGAGTTAGTCAAAAGTTTTCTAAATATTTTCAAATGAATATCGTAGCTCTAGCCGCAACGTAAAGCAAAACGCCATTCGCAATTTTCCATTCTATCTTTAACTATAATGCTATTATCAACATCAGTTTGCTGGAATATCAACATTATTCATTCAGTTGTGACTGAAATTCTAACGCCATGAAATGTTCATTGGAGAAAAAGATTATTTATTAAAGTTGATTAAATTAATGTTACAAAAAAATATGGTTATCACTATTCTTCGATGAACCGATAAGGCGTCTAAACATAAACAAAAGTTATTTTGTTAATATGCAAATGTAGAACAATGCAGTAAATTACTTACAAAGCCTGACGTTTTCTTGATGACTTTTAATTGATGAACTAGTCGTGTGATATGTTCATGAATATCACCTATTGATAAACACTGTTGAGCACAGTCTTCGATTATTTTCAAAAACTCCGCATTATTTCTGATGTATCTAAAGAATTGATACAAGTTCTCTCTGTGAAGCGATAATTCTAACTCAGCGTTGTGTTGAAACTTGCGAATTTCTAAAAGAAAATCGTAGATTTAAAAGGAAATGCGATTTCCAAAATTCAATAGACAAAGAAAAAGAAAATATCAGGACATTTATAAAATGACTCGAAATTTCGATTCATTACAATTTTCAAAATTGAGATTTTTGTCACTTCGGGTGTCATTAAAAGAATTCATATCAGAAATGACCGTATGAGATGATGGACCAGTACGAAATATTCGTGTCTGAAAATTTTACATGAAATTTTTTGTTAAAAAAAAGAATGTTTTCATTTATTTTGAGAATGTGCAATATTAGAAAAGCTACAGAGATGGCATTATCAGCTTGTGCGAGTGAGCGCTGTTTATTGCTAGTGTCGGTGTTGGTTTAAGCCTTGGTGTGATCCTGGTGGGATGTGCGAGTGCTCTCTTAATCTTCACATCCACATCACTAAAGGATATTTGATTTTCATAAACCCTTATAAAAATTTATGAATGTGCAACGCATAGAATTAACCCTGAAGATCAAGTTTCTGAGAAAATCAGTCACTATGGAATATCGACGATTCTGAAATATTTCACCGTGGTCGATATCTGAGTCTCTCAGACACGTACTCTTTAAGGTTTAGAAAAATTTGGACATGTATACGGTGTAAAAGTATTTATTATATGTTGCAATTTCATAAACCCTGAAAGCGTTTATTATTCTACAAATTTTCGCTGCTACTTTAGAGATTTAAGGAATAAATAACAAAAATCTGCTCTAATATGAATACAAGCAATTTTTACTCTTCCAGTCTCAATCATAAAAAAATATTGCATTGAAGTGTTGTGTGTGCCCTTTCTCGTGCTGCAGGGCAAGTTGAAAAAAAAGCGCTTTATAGAAATATCTGATTCACATAAAATTTGCTTGCCAATATTCATCGATTTTGCAGTCATAAATATTATCTGTCGTTAGAGGTTTTAACAGAATTCTACAACGCACTTGTTTGTGCAATCATGCACAAGTATTTAACGAACATCGGTAACATTACACTTATATTGTGCTGCAGAAATTGGCAGAAGTATCAGTCACGAAGAGTGGAAATCCTAGTTTTTGCCGAAATATAGAAATAGAGTATCATAAAAAGATAAAGCATACGGTTAAAAACTGTCAAAATTTCGAAACTCTCCAATATTATGTAAATATTCTGCGCGAGTACGAGAACGCTTTGGCAATCTTTTTCTTTATGCTCATATTTCTACAAAATCCATAAGAATTGTTTATTTGTTTTAGTGTTTTCCAAAACGTGGGAGCGTTCTAGATACAAAGCCCTAAACATAACTACCTAATTCCTTCGGATTATATTCACGATTCGACATGGCTATTATTGTCACTATCAAGAAATCCACCAAAATATGAGTGACTCATTTTTCGCAGTCAGAAAATCATTATCCTTTTGAAGCTTAATCAGAATAAGAATTTCATCAAATATGAATAAGTGGATATTTTGCAGGTTCAGCAATATCTTTCGTTAGAAAAACCTTAAAATAATTATTAATAAAAAGATTTGTTTCGATTAAAGAAAGTCAATGAAAATTTCTTCCATGGAAGTAAAAAAATTTGCTTAATGACCCTTTTCACAGCAAACAAAATTACTTTTGTCAAAAACGAACTTTATGGCGTGCTTTTCATAAGCCGAAAAATAAGGTCTCTTACGGATTCGTTTTCTTCGAAGAAGACATCTGGTATTTTGTAAGGTGCACCAAAGGCGAAAAACGAGCAAAAAATTTTTTTTTCTTTATTTTTTACATGGTTCGATAGAGCTTGTTGAGCTGATCACCAATATCACCTTTAAAACATTTTTTGGTCACATTTTGAATGAAAAAAATTCGAACTACAAAAAATGATTTGTTTTCTCACTTTTCTCAAGAAATTTCGATACTGATGAGACTTCGAAGCTGTGTTATTCAGATTCAGCATCAAAATTCGAGTTGAACTATTAGTTTAAGAATTTTTTATCATTCATATCTGTTTCAGTAATCGTCACAAACCCCAAAAACAACCAATTTTACGCCATTCTGCCAAATCTATCTAGTCTTTTGTTCTACAACATTCCCCCAACCTTCTTATATCATTCGCACCGTCAAGTGAAGGCGAAAAACATCTAGCATGGGTTTCGACAAATTTTCTTTTCTCATAGAGAAAAACTGATTTTACTGGAAGCAGTGCAGTTAAAAAATTCATGCTTTTATCATTCGGGTCAAACTTCGTCCAATTTTGATTTCGACATGAACGCATCCGTAAAAAAGGATGTAGAATTCAAGGGAGCTATTTAGAGATATCTATCGAGTCTCTGAAGATCATCAGGAGGAAAAAAACTCAAAAAGAAAATATTTTCCTGATGATCTTCAGAGACTCGATAGATATCTCTAAATAGCTCCCTTGAATTCTACATCCTTTTTTACGGATGCGTTCATGTCGAAATCAAAATTGGACGAAGTTTGACCCGAATGATAAAAGCATGAATTTTTTAACTGCACTGCTTCCAGTAAAATCAGTTTTTCTCTATGAGAAAAGAAAATTTGTCGAAACCCATGCTAGATGTTTTTCGCCTTCACTTGACGGTGCGAATGATATAAGAAGGTTGGGGGAATGTTGTAGAACAAAAGACTAGATAGATTTGGCAGAATGGCGTAAAATTGGTTGTTTTTGGGGTTTGTGACGATTACTGAAACAGATATGAATGATAAAAAATTCTTAAACTAATAGTTCAACTCGAATTTTGATGCTGAATCTGAATAACACAGCTTCGAAGTCTCATCAGTATCGAAATTTCTTGAGAAAAGTGAGAAAACAAATCATTTTTTGTAGTTCGAATTTTTTTCATTCAAAATGTGACCAAAAAATGTTTTAAAGGTGATATTGGTGATCAGCTCAACAAGCTCTATCGAACCATGTAAAAAATAAAGAAAAAAAATATTTTGCTCGTTTTTCGCCTTTGGTGCACCTTAGGTACTTACGAACTGGTAATTGAAGTTTTAAATGCGTTACACAAAAATGATCTAGTCGGGTCAATGTGTAAAATTGATAATTTAAACTATCGACAGAGTTTGACATGGTTAAAATTTCAGCCGATCCTGGCACATAATAATCTTCATCGGATGAAAATGACCATTCGTCTGAGAAAAAGTTAGATGATTGTTCTAATCAATGACTCCTGGATAACTTACGGCGTTCATGGTTACTTTTCCGATACTAAAAGAAAACAATTTTGTTTCGCTTTTGAATATTTAAAATAATGAAGGGTCTTACCGAACGTTTACGATATTTATACGAGCTAAGATCATTAGCTTCTGTTGTATGTTTATTTGGATGGATAACTCTGGTATCGCCACTATCACTAGTTGTACTATCTGAGTAAACAAATGCAAAACGATCAGACAACGAGTTCCATTTATCGTCTATCATCTTACCAAAATGTTTTCTCTTTTGTTTTTTGTTCATTAAATTATGAACATCTTGTCGTATTTTATCAATCATGGCCAATGGCATTGGCAAAATTTCAAGTTTATCTTGAGCATTAGTATAATAAAAGATTGACTTTGAATTTTGACTAATTTTTTCATAACGACGAGCAATGTTCATTTTCAATTCTTCCAAATTGTTCACTGATGTGAACGCTATCGGCACCAAGAATAACAATTCTTCACATATAAATGTTGCCACTTCTTCAGTTAACTGCTGTTTAATGAAAGATCGAAAGCATTGCGCAGTCATATCAATATGTAATTTTAATGCACTAAATAGATATGGACACCATCGGCACGAGTCTCAACTACGATAATCATACTTACGTCGTTGTACTCGCCATTGATGAATTGTCGATCAGAATCTGTTTTTAACGAATAATTATTAATCTGATGAGCTAAAGTTTCGATCGCAAATTTCAATAACAACAACTAGAAGAATAACAATGTCGAACTAGAAAGACAAATACTACGTATACGTAGGGCAGTTGTGAACAAATGATGAACATAAACAAAGACTAACAGGCGAACAGCATTATCGTTAGTTATTGGCTTATCAAACTGAACAAATACATGTAAAATATATGTACCCCGTCACTAGATGTCACTAGTTTTTCTGACGTACAATTGTATCATTCGGAAAAAAATATCTCACATACCTCAATTAATCAAATTATTTAAATTGACAAAAACTATATAAATAAATGATTTTTTTCTCTCCCCAGGTCGAACAAGCACGGTCGTAAACGACCGTATATGGCGATATACATGGCTCAGTATATTATACGATCGTATATATGGACTCCGTAAACCTCGACCTGGGTCTTTACTATTCTATATGTGATGTTTCCTTTTGGAATGAGTGCTCAGCTGATTGCACGCCTCTACGCTATTTGATCTCAAAAGTATTTTGTCCACATAAAAATATAACAATAATAAAGTTAACTGAAGTGTGGCGCTTAAGAAGAACTCAATCAAATTCATAAGAGTTAAATTTATCATCATGTCCTTCGAGACGTACTTTAGAAATCTAAAACTTCATGATATACCATAAAATAACAATACAAATGGTCTGATCATCTTAAATTCAGTCTATATTTGCTTTTTTTCTGGATGGTTCGTATATGAATTTCGAGAGAATGCGGTGATCTTGTGATGAGACGAATCATAACCCAATAAACAAATCTTTTGATTAACTTCTAGTCAAAATATATAGTCATACAATTGAGTTTGTATAGCGTAAAAATCTTGTCTATAGGAATTGATATCATTACTTAACTAAACATTCCCGTATTAAATAGACTTTGGCATCAAAAGTGTGTTCATCGAATACTGCATTGATATATATATATATATATAAGTACAAATATAATTTTAGTGGGAAACTAAAGATAGGTTAATTCATTGTCTTATGAATTCTGGTCTTTAATAAGATTTTAATTAAAAACAAGATTTACCAGCATTAATAATTTGTCTAAATATATACCTACAAATCAGGACTTTATATGAATATTAATAAATTATAAATAATTTTTTTACAAAACATAATGAAAGAGAATAACTCGGTTCTGAATTTACTGAATTGCATCGGGTTTTTTTCGGGTTTGAGTAAACAATAAATAAAAACTTTACATCAAGATTAAACTCTTTCTCTAGATGTGAATTCGATAGTGCAATCTTTTAGCTTTCGAATAATGCATTTGGGTTTCAAAAGCTTTTTATTCCTGTCGTTCTACGCAGAAAACGATTGCAAAAAAATCGGAATCGGGTTTAAATCGGACTCCGATTTTTTTCGTATATTTTCCGTCTTCAATTTCATGGATTCATTATTTTTCTCGAAACAAGACACATCATTTGAAAGCTGGAGGACGCTTTTATTGAACCCACATTGCAAAATAGAGTTTGACATTAGTGTAAAGTTTTTATTAATTGTTTACTCAAACCCGAAAAAGACCCGATGCACTTCACTAGTTCTGATAGACAACATAATATTTCTTTCTGTGACTTTTCATAAAAAGTTTAAAAAAAATACAAATATGTATTTCAGTCAATGAAAATAAATTAGAGATCGTCTGGAATCTGTATTGTTTTTGATGTTGTTTCATTTGTATGTGGTGTTCTTCTTCGTCGTTTTAAACCGATTCCATTAGTTAAATTAACATTATTTGTTTTTAAATTAAAACCTTTTGTGAAACACTTTGGTAAAATAAGTGTACAGATTTCCACACGAAATTGTTGAGACATTAAACAATACATAATGAATGTGATAAATGATGAACCGATTGATGTAATATCCCATACATCACCCAAATGCGAATATAAGAAAAAGAAGTCTTTATTAACGCAACTAGCAATAAAAAAAAGACCTTGAGGAAATTCAACAAATGCAGTAAACAAGGTAATAAACACAAGCATTCGTGTAGTCCGTAATTCACGTTTAGAGCTTGATGTTGTTGATGATGATGATAATGGCGATACAAATAAATATGGTCGACGAAGACGTTCACGTGATCGGCGTGCATGATGAATATTTAATATTAATAATATACTGAATACAATCAAGATGAAGACAGGTAGAATTTTAAAACAAATTGCCAATATGACAAAAGAAAATTGTTCTAATCGTTCACCTGTTGCTGTACTAACCCAATATACGATTTCAGTAGAATTTTTACTGTATAAATGGGGAAAATATTTATATGCTGGTTGACGAACAACGCTCCATATCAAATAATTTGGTATCATAAACAAACATACTAAAAGAGTAACAATCCAAACAAGAATAATCACATGGGTTGAATTCACTACAGCTTGTTTAGGTTTTGATATTATTGTGTATCGAATCTAAACGACATACGTACACATTTATATACGAAGAAAGATATATATATATATCGAGAGAGAGAGAGAGAGAGAGAGAGAGAATCATTTATTTTTAAATCGTACTTACAATAGCTAAAAGACAGGTTAACCATAATGCAATGGAATGTGCAGTTAAACCGATATTGGAATGAAATATAGCAAATCGTGGCCAAAACTGAGATTGACCAACAAATGGATTTGGTTGATGAAGTATGTAAAAATATAAAGAATAAATATTGTATGATATCAATACAACTGTATCAAAAAATGCTACATGTTGAAGAATAAAATTTGTTGGTGTTCGAAAAGCTTTTTTATGAAGTACAACGATTGTTACCATACTTGCTAATATACCGAATATTGTTAATGGAAATACAATTCTACCATGAATTTGTGCATAATATTCACTAAATTTCACAAGAAAACTTTCGGATGAGTTCAAAAACATTTTTGTCAATTATATTCTGTTGATCATCTACAAAGAAAAGAAATGAATAACATAGCCGTTTAACAAGGGTGTTATTTTTGGACTAACAATTAACATTATTGAAACGTGCTTAGAATTCTTATTTTTTTTTGTATCAAAAAAACAGGCAGAAAAATATTTTCATTAGTTACAAAATACGGTCGAAGAACTCTATTCTATTGCTGTACTCAATCAGCTAATTATTCTTTACATATATATATATATTTCCCATTGAAACCTACCTATTCTCCTTTTTCTTTTGTTTTCTAAGTTAACCGGTGTGCATCTCTGTTCTTTTCATGATGAGTTAATTCTGTCAATGTGTTTTAAGCAGACCTTTTATTTATAACGTGTTGATTAAAGAGCAATATTATTTTCGACAATTTACATATTTTCTATATCAAAAGAATGAGAAAAAAATAGCATTACTATATGGAGAAAGGAATGCTATGTACATTTGTACAAATGTAAAAGTATAAGATAAAAAAAATTGATTTGCGCATGTACAAACATCTTATAGATTATGAGAGATAAAATTTATATCCGTATATATAGTGTACTTACTGTTTACTTGTGATGTAAAAATTAGTTTTTCTAATTGAATGTTTTAACATTCTTTGTAAAAAAAATACACATATATACAAATCTGCAATAAGCGTATCTTCATAAGCATTGATAACTCGTCTCTAAGTTAACAGATTGCATCGGACAGTATTAACTACCATCTTGCATCAGTAATTTAACTTAAAAATAAAAATAATACCTTTCGATCTTTGATACTCATACGAGAGCTTTTTTCTGACTAATAAACCAACGATTTAACAAGACACGAATGCGATCAAACTAATAAAAAACAGCAACGAAAATGTCGATGTACAATACAATTCAGAAAGAATTAAAACTAATGATTAGATTAACATTTTATTAATCAACTCATTGAAATAGTCTTAAACCTATTGAATGAAAGTAAAATAGTTCTTTTTTTACTTTTTTTGTTTTCTGATAATATATTTAAAAAAAAGAAGCGATACATTCTATTTGAGGAGAGACACAATCGATATTATTCATTAAAAGTTAGATATACTGATAATTTTCATTTCTAATACAATGCTATTCATCGTTGAATTTTTCGGCCAAAACATGATAGAAACAAAAACCTGTTCTATTATGTTTATCCTTTGATCAGATAGGTATCTTCTAATCATGCTCAACTCGGTTAATATAGTCATTGACTTTACAAGAATGAATAAATTTATAAGAGAAAATATATAGGTTTTGCGTTTTTTTAGATAATGTGGCTTTGAATGCTCGTGCTAAATTCATTCCCAAAGATAAAATATTTTATTAGAAAATATCTTTTATAGATTCTCACCAGAAATGATATTCTGACAATTATCATTTATGGAATGTAATCTAAGTAATTTGTAAATGTCGACGAATAGATTGACTACGCAATTTCGATTTTTTTAAAGGTAAAACTATTTAATAAAATTCCACGGTCTAGAGCCCACGCATAAATTGCATTACAAGAAAGTCAAAAGAGAAAGTTTGTGAACCAAAACCAGCATGAATTTATGTTTTCTTCTTTCTTTCAATTTTTATCTAATATGAAAATGTCATAGACTAAAAGTATCCAGTGCCTAGATTTGTCTATTCCTACATATGGAATGAGATATTTTGATGTACATACACACAGAATTGATGAGATCACAGTGTTAACAGCTGGTTCGAAGAAAATGATGTGAGTTTCTCCTCTAGACAACAAGTGACGTATCGAATTCATCATAACTTCCATTTAGTCATTATATGAAAATTATGGAAATAAGAAAATCTTAACTTTCTTTCCGAATGGGATAATAAGAAAACAAGCACAGCCTGTTTTAGTTTTTATCTGCGTTTACATGAAAGAAAGAAAGAAAGGAAGAATATATTCTTTTCTATGAATTACCATAAAAAAATCTCTTTCATGATTATTAATGATAATTCTAAGTTAATTATCAAGGAAACTATCAAACGTAGTAATCTAAGATAATCCGATATCTTTTTTTGCTACAATCAATCTGAATTTCATTGTACTCTGAAATTAGTCGAATTATTTGTCAATTAATATCTAATAGAAAAGTTTTTTTTAATATGAATTGTCTTCTGATATTTCTTTGTAACTTATTTTATCAATAGTATTAACTGCAAAAATTAATATAAATCTTATTTTATTTTATTGATAAAATACAAAAAAAAAGAAAAACAGTTCAATAGAAAAATTAATGTCCAAGTATAAATTGAAGTAATGGTATTACTTTAATCGATGATATATCAGAGAAAATAGCCTAAATAAATCATGAAATATAACTTACACATTTTTCTTTTTAAATAAAAACTAATAATTCTTACTTCAACGGCTGATTCGCTTGTTACTGTTAAAACATTTCCTTTACGTAATACAAATATTGCAACAGCAAGAACTAAAACAATTTAAATATAAAAATAAAAATAAAAATAAATATTATAAGAAAATTTAAAATACGAGATAAAATTTCCAATGAATCATAGGCTAGAATTCTATCCCAAAGTGCTAATAATTGATTCGATGCTAAATAGCCTGAAAAAGCTCTCATCATCCATTTAAAAGCCATCCGTAATCTAAACCGAAAAAGGTTTTTTTTTTATAAATATATCAATTAAAGAATTAAAAATACGGTTGAACTTGAATATCTTGTAAATGAAACCATAAATCAGGTGAAATTTGACGTAATAGAGATTCAAATAAAACACATAAACCAACAATGGCCTAAATTCAAATTTTTGTTTTTCTAATCAATTGCACATATTTTTCTTATTTTCTCACATTTGGTGACGCTGATATATGATGTAAATCAAAAAAATATTTCATATAAAATTGACGAAAAATAAAATATAGATGAACTGGATCTTCAAAAACAAAACACATCGGTGCAACTTCAAAAAATAAACATTATATTCCAGATATTTTTCAAAGGTAAACAAAATGAATTTGTTTTACCGAGCATTGAAAAACCATAGAATGGAATAATTCCACTTGGTGGATATATAACCGCACATTCTTCAGCGCCTATTTTTTTTTTTATAAATGAACGTGCCGGTTGACAACCACTCGCACTGCTTGTAAAACAGGATTGAACATATGTATCACGAGAAAATAACAAAAGAACCTTTTTTTTTATAAAAATTAAGAAAAATAAATAAAATTTTCATTCTAATTTTCTTCTTACTTGATATAAATAGTCTTCAAAGACAAACAATTGATCATCATTTACTGCTGTTAATTTAACATCCTATTGAAATGAAAAAGATATCTTCCGTGTAAAAGTATTCTTTAATCATTACATTAATTAAAATGTTTCAATGATAATTATTTGAACTATTAATTTAATAATTATTCTTTATTAAAACATATTTAGAAATGTTGAAAGAAGATTTTTGTCAATAATTATTTCAATTTCTAAAGAATGTCTCTCTCTAATCATAAGATAATATGTCTACTGAACAAAATTTGTCACTAGAGTTGTTTATTTGAAATAGAAAAATGAACAGTTTTAAAGATATTCAAAAGTTTGACATACTATTTGTTACATTTTGATCTTATCTTTATCAAAGATTTTAGTTAATTATTTTGTTTTGAATCTGAATGGCTATATATATTATTGAAATCAACAATAAAACAATGGTATTCATGGTTAAATTTAAGACAGTTATCAATGTAAGAAAAACTACCAGATGAATTAAATACAACCTATTTATTTTCTATTGGAATAAAATCATATTCTAATCAATCAATCAAAACAGATCGACTAAAAGTTGAGTAACTGTTGAAGAAAAAGAAAAAGTCAATGAAGTGTATAGGACTCGTCAAAATTAGATATTACAACATCGTAAGTCTATTGTACAAGATAACTTGACATAACAACGAAGAACTCATCAAGTAACTATGGAATATCTCTTATTAAAATTACAGAAGATACAGTTTGTTTAACATATGTACATAAGAAAATGAATTATAGAAACCAAACAATTGATTCTAATTCATTCTCACAAGATTATCAATTTTCAACAAAAAAAAGTCATTTCATAAAGTTTTCAAATTTCCAAATAATTGATTGTTTGTTTAAGTGATGTTTTTTTTTTAAATTTATCAAGTAGAAGACAATTTTCGATTAAATCAATAGTCTTTGACACTGTGTTTCATGTTCTATCAAACAAACAAAAGTTCGAGTCAAGATATGAGATGGACACCGTTTTCGGAAGGTTATGATTTTTAAGAAATACAAAAAACAATAGAAGCTATTTTGTACGATTTCAGTTAGTCGTCAATTATTGATATGCAAACATAAAAATACTGAATTCTGATTTGAAAATTTGAAATATGTTTCATATTTTCATGAGTTTTTTATGAACTTTTTCGTTGGAAATTGATAAAAAAGAAATCATCGATATTATTGTGAAGCATAAAAATAACAACTGCCTCTTTTTTTTAAAGGAAATTCAAAAGCAAAGAAAACTGACAAGATAGAAAGTCATCCATTTATTCTAATTATTACATCGATCTAAATCAAAATAAAATCTGTTCTTTTCAAGTACATGCAAAAATAGTTTATGAAATTAGAATGAGCATTCTTGATAAATTTAAAAAATTCATGAAAATTTCTTTTAGTCAATTTGTCTGAATAGCTATCATGTATTTCGACAATAAAAACTAATGAACTAATTTATCTATTAAATAATAATTGAAAATACCTTAAAATAGAGACTATCAACCAAAAGATCATAATCAATTACATTCTGTTTCAGATAATTAAAATAAGTCACATGCTAAATTTCGAAAACAGAAAAAGAAATAAATTTCATTGAAAAGAAAAAGAAAAAGAAAATTGATACCCAATTGGAAAGATCAACATCTAACATACTTGACCAAAGTTTTCCTCGTAAACTTGTTGGACAACCACGTTTTGCGTATTCTCGTGCAGCATTTAAATTTGATTTTTTTTCAAGAACTAAAATGCAACTAGTATCGTTTTTTTTTTCCATTGAATTTTTCTTTACTTTGTAATGCTAATTTAATATTTTCTTCTTCTTTCACTTCATTAAATGTTTCATCGGAACAATATTGAATTAGATTTGGACGAAGATCCGAGTATAAATTTTTCTAAACAATATTTTTCCTTGAACTTTTCAAATAAAAAATTCAAGTATTAAATTCCACTTACGATTTCTATAAAACTTTTTGTTACTAATGGAATTTTGATCAAGCCACAACTAAAAGAAGTCAATTTGATTTAATTTAATTAGTATCAGATAGGAAAAAAGACACACTTCCAAATTGATTCATCAATTTTTAAGTTTGGATTCATTAAAACACAAATAACATCAAGAAAATCTTTTGCTGAATAAACAGGACGAAAACGATTTAAATCTTTTAAAGAAGCAAAAAACAAAGTATTGATTGAAATAAAAATTTTAAATTTAAAAAGAAAACAAACCTCCACAAATATGACCAAGTTCATTCCAATGTCTTCTTACCGATCGCATTTCATTTTCATTTCTCTGTTAATAAGATATTGAACGAAAATAATAAAAACTATTTTGAATTATAAAAATTTTAATAAACCTGTCTTGCAAGTGGTAAATTAACTTCAGAACACATCGTATTTAAACTTTTTACGATTCGCTTTTCCCATGCTGACTATAAAATAAAATTAACAAAAAGGAAAAATGTATAATAGAAAAATCTAATTACTTGGCCTTTTTTTAAATAATCTATTTCATATTTATGTTCATCAAATGATGCAACTTGAGTAGATTTAAATAAATGTTGATAGTATTCATATTGATCTTTATTTTAAAAGAGAACGACAGATTAAATTTCAAAACATCAATAAAAAGGAAAAACTTAGTAGACCTGATTGTTTAATTGTTTTAAGTAAACTTTGAAAATCTGCAACAAATTTTCCAGTTGAAATTATTATTTTCTATTGAAGAAAAATTGTGAAAAAAAAATATTAAAAAAAATTGATTGTTTAAATATACTTGAGTTTGGTTTAAGAATGTTTGTTTTAATTTTTCATCAACTTTATCAGTCATTTTATAATAATCTTAAAAAGAAAAAGTATTTCATTAATTGTTCTTAGGAATGATACAAATTGATTATGAACGCTTAATTAGTTGAAGAATTATCTTTTCGACATTTTCATTATTTTTTATTTCAAAAATAATTAAAAATCAGCTATGTGTAGCATCCTACGGTTTTAATTATTTTAAAAGTAGGGGTGAGAAAGTTATTGTTATTTTTTTTTTGTTATTATAACAATAACACTAACTTTTTGCTTCAAAAAAATCAGTGACACAAATCTAAGCAGTTTTGTACGAACGTCAAAGGATGACTCTATTCACATAGTATCTTTTCCTATCATTGATATAAGAACTAGTTGTAAATATTCTGAGAAATAGTAAAATAACTTTTTTTTGTTATTGTTATTGTAATTGTTATCACCAATAACAATAACAAAAAAAGTTATTTTACTATTTCTCAAAAGACTTACAACTAGTTCTTATATCTACGACAGGAAAAGATACTATGTGAACAAAGTCATCTTTTGACATTCGTATAAAAATGCTTAGATTTGTGTCACTGATTTTTTTGAAGCAAAAAGTTAGTGTTATTGTTATAATAACAAAAAAAAAATAACAATAACTTTCTCACCCCTACTTAAAAGTGAAGGTCTTCAATACTGAAGGCTGTCCTATAATATGTTCTCTTAATTTGATATTGCGTCTGACAATTTTCTTTTTTCTATCAAAAGTAAAATCGGTGAAGACGAAACAAACTGATGATAAAAATTGACTTTTTTTGTTATTAAATGTCTTCAAAATGAAATTCTATTGAGGTCAGCTGCATGTTCATAAGATCCTCATAAGTTGGCTCGTTATTCTATGAATACATAGCAAGAAAAGATGTCATGGTAACGAATGAGTCTGATCAGTAGATACGGACATCTGTTGCAGAGCGATCACTTCATAACACAGAACAGAAGAAGCAAAACTGAATATCTGAGTAGTGAATTGCAAAGCGATCGAACATCAAAAGAATAAAATAAACAACTGTTCTCTTTTCTTTATATGTCGCCTAAGGAACAAGAGCAAAAATCATTCTTGGATGTGCAAATCCGTTAGGACTAGCCTCCCTGTCAGCGGCCTAACGAGGGAAGGGACAAATGGGCATTTGTCCATTGCAATTTTATTTTTTCAAAATTGTTTATCTATTTTTGAATTAGATAGTAACAGTATTTTGTTTCATCCGTCTAAATCTCGCATATAATCTTTGCCTGTTCTTTTTGTGATGAATTAAGAAAAGAAGAGAATTATATATACATAAATGTATCATATTCGTCTTGATTTTGGCGTTTAAACTTGAAATTTAACTATTATTGACAGAAAAATTCAAAGTAGACTAAAACACATCGGAATCAGTGATGTCGATGGCGGCACGATGGTGACAGGTACCTTTTACAAAAAAATTGCAAAAATTAATTCATAGATTGTGACAGGATTCAAATTTAGAGGAGTGACTCACCAGGCCCCGCAGCGGGGTTTGATAAAAAGAAGGATTTTGAGAAGGAAATTTTTTTTTAAAAAGAAGGAAATTAATTGAAAAGAAGGAAAAGAAGGAATTCATCCAAATGTACCGTCCTACAATAAAAATAAAAGAGATCAGGTATTGCCAAAGTTGTCGTTTTACCTAAATTCATCAAGAGTCTTCAATCACTTTCACATGGTAATGCCGATGTTGAACGTGGCTTTAGTGAAAACGCAGCACTAATCACCGACGACCGATCATCTCTAAGTGACATCTCCATCAACGGACTTCGAGCAACGAAAGATGCCGTCAAATTTTACGGACAAGGAAAAGTCATGAAGTAAGTGAGACTATTAGTAACAGTTAATTATTATCAATGTGACTAATACACTTTATAGGTTCCAATTTGCAAAGGACTTCTTGACAATGTAAAGGAAGCACACTCACGATATCAAGTTGATCAAGAAAAAAAAACACAATGAATACTCAAAGAAAAAGAAGCGATTGCAGCTGCTTCAAAATTAACGAAAAACAAAGAACTAATTTTGGTCGAAAAATTACAAAATCTACTCGATCAACGCAAGATATTACAAGAAGATCTAGAAAATGCATCGAAAATGTTCAATGAAGGTAACTTACGACTCGACGCTGCAGTTGCAACGAAAAATTTTGCTGGTGTCGCAATGGCACAACTACTTATTGGAGGTGCGAAGAAAAAATTGGCTGTTTTGAAAACACAACTCGGCGATAATAATGATCAAATGAATTAGCTCAGAAAAAAATTGATAAAATGAACGAAAAAATGGTACAAAAAGAAGATAAAATTCGTGAGCTTATAACTTTGTAGATTTGTAAATTTGTAGATATAAAAATTTGAAAATAAATAAATAATAATAAATATACGCTCTAGAACTATGATTGTTTCATTGTGTGGTTTTCCTGATATATGAATATTATTTCTCTGAAGTGTAGTATCTCTGTTGTGAAGTATGTATACGGTCATCTTGCATGACAAAGAAAAAAAGAAGGAAAAGAAGGAATTTTGTTAAAAAGAAGGATGAAGAAGGACGCCCCTTAAAAAGAAGGGAAAAAGTAGGAAAGAAGGACCTCTGCGAGGCCTGCTCTGAGTGTAAAACTCGGGGACTAGATGAGCACATGGATTTATGTCAACAATACCAATTTATTGGACATGATAACGATTTTCGAAAGATTTTTTGAAAACCGTCGCGACAGGCATGCGAGAGTTACCTAGTTTCAAGGTCTATAGCGCAGGAGTGATAGATTATCAATCGTGATGGATAGTGGCGTAACCAGGATTTGTCGGGTGGTTGGGCTGAGCCCTAATGTTTTTTCAAAAAGCTATTTTTGATGATGCATAACTTATTGTTTTACAGAAAAAATGTACAATTATGTATTTAGCTTAAAGACATTTACTTTTAAGTAATACTGCGCTTGTTTATTAAAAAAAATAAAGCATCACAAAGTTTTACTGTAAAAGAAAGCTACTGTTTTTCTGGAAATCAGCAAAATTCTCCGTTACTCTTGCGAAACTAATGTTGAAATCCTGTTCCACCTCTAAAATGAGCAAATATCTCAACCAACTATTCAACATTGTATTACGTCCGGCTGTTTTTCTCAGTTTCATTTTACTAAATATTCTGTCGCAACTGGTAAACAAGTCACGTATAGTCACAACAGTAGCGACACGAGATATAACAGTTGGAAACATCTGTTGCAGTGGCACTCAAGAAGACAAAAGGTTTTGAAAACGTGTTTAAACCCACAAAAAGGATTAAAAATCGAGAAAAAGTAAATACGTTTGGATGACACTCGGGGTTCTCAATTTTGAGCGGAAAACGCCCATTGTTCTTCTGTCTTGAGCATTTAAACGCGTTTTCAGCGAGAAACGCTTGTGAATACATGAAAATGCGCTAAAAAACACAAAAAGTGGTCGTTTTCTTCATAATTTTTATATGTAACTGGATCTTAAATAGAGTTCTCGAGTATCAAAAAAATCACAACCTTTTGTCATTTTTGAATGCTCTTACACGTGTTTTGACTGAAAACGCGTTTAAGCACACAAGCGGGACGATAAATCGGCGTTTTAGGTCAAAATTAGGAACCTCGATTATCACGCAAACACGTCCCTCTTTTCTGGATTTTTCGTCCTTTTTCGTACAGGCAAAAATGGTTTTCCAAATTTTCGCGTGGTTGGGCACTTATTCAGCGTAGATATCAACATATGCTGGGGAATCTCAATTTCATTTCATAATGAGGAGAAATTAGTTTTCATTTGTAATGCAAAATGTTTTAGTTTTAACTGCAAGAGGTCGATTTAACGACTAACTGGCATGGTAGCTTACTGCCACCCTCAATGTAGATGCTTATTAGCTACTTCACATCTCCAGAGTGTATTTATACTTTACATTGAACACGCGCTTATATAGGAGAGAAAATGACAAAGAGAAAAACACAAGGAAGAGCGATAGAGCGAGACGAATAACGGAAACAATGAGAAAGATTAGATAAAGAGGAAAATCAATGAAGGATAACGCCGATATCGGCACAATCGGAGCGAATGTATCGTGCAATGTTTTATTTTGTCTAGCATTATTAAAAAATATAACCTTTTTCTAAAAATGACTAGTGGTAGGGCGCAAAGCCTCGGTGGTTGGGCTCAGCCCAACCATGCCCTACCCTGGTTACGTCACTAGTGATGGACATCTCTGATCTAACTCAGGCATAAGATCTGAGTTTGATTCATAGCTGATTAAAAGAACCTCGTTTCAATCTATTTTGTTTTTTTTCACGTTGCCAGTACTTTGTTGGGCTAAAAAATTTCTTTGCTCTATCTGCTCATCGTTTTTTTGCGATACAAGAGCACTTTGTACATTGGTTTAAAAATGCTAGCTACGCCGCTGATCACAGTCTCTATGAATGAAGTATTAATTTATTGTACTGTTGTACTTTTTGACAGCATAAAACTTCAATAGTTCCAATTTATCTCAATCAATTCTTACGATTTCTAGATTAGAAATCCTTAACAAGTTTTCACTACCATAAAAATAATCAAGAATTCACCTCGAACCAGCCTGTAAATATTAGAGACATTAAGTTAGACAGATAGATTTTTGCTGTCATTTATTCAGAGAAAATTATATAGAATAAATAAATTTCTTTTTATGTTTTGTTCAATCAAGTTGTAATTTGATTAAATAAACTAGGTGACGATTCATTTGGAACTGTGTCACGAGTTAAAGATAAAGAAAATAATTTATTTTATGCTTTAAAAACCATTCCAAAAAAAGTATTTTCTTTTTCAAGCAGGAAATAATTATTAAAAGAAATTTTAGTTTTAATTTTAGCCTGGAAATAAATCTAAAGCATCAAGTGTTGATAATGAAGTAAAATTATTAACAGAAGTTAATCATTGAAATCTTATTCAACTTCATAAAGCATTCGAATTATTGAGGATGAGTTCTTTGTTAAAAGCAGATCAATGATCAGCCAATATATCTATTAAGTATCCATTTTCCAATATTTTTGATTTAAAAAAATGTGATTCAGAATATTTCGTTCATAAAAACTCGACTAGTGGTTTCCCTAACTAGCGACATCAGTTATATACATATAATTTCCATTGTTGCACAGAACGAAAAATTCGTTGTCCCTTGTTCGACAAAGCAATATATATTCATATTCATATCTTATGCTTGTGTTCATTACTAATAATGATCTATTTAAAAGAAAGTTTGGGTAAAAATAAACGGAATCATGATTATCAAATATTTTGATTTATATTCGTAGGTGGTGGTGATCGAAGTGGACGTGGTGGTGATCGAAGTGGACGTGGTGGTGATCGAAGTGGACGTGGTGGTGATCGAAGTGGACGTGNTACTTTTTGGTAATCCAACTCCATGAATTTCTTCCAAATGTTGTCTTGTTTGAGTTTCATTTAAATGTATACGTGATAGATCTGGTGGTGATCGAAGTGGACGTGGTGGCGATCGAAGTGGACGTGGTGGTGATCGAAGTGAACGTGGTGGTGATCGAAGTGGATGTAGTGATAAAGATGAAAGTGCTGATCGAAGTGAACGTGATGATCAAGTTGCAGTTGGCGAACCAGGAGGTGGTATTTATCGTGCAAGACTTCTTCTACCTGAGCATGGTGTTCATGGTGGAAATATGGTATGGAAGGTGGAGAAGTGCAAACCCATTAAATCAAGCCGAGCATTATGTTATGAAATAATATCCAAAATCATTGAAATTGTAAGTTCAACTTAGATAATTGAAAACAATAAACGAGAATGTTTTTTTAAAGATCTTCTTGTTATTAATCAGCACGTTCGAAATCATATGGCTAATCAAAATTAACAACTGTTATAACTGTATAAAACTTGGATGCTGGCTTGCGTGTTGTATCCTTTATATTGTAAGATGGTTGGTTCACTCTTGTTTGTTTTGCTGTGGACAGGATAGAACCATCAGCTACAAGCAACTATCCTTGTTCAAAGAACAAAGAGTAAGATTAGTTTTTGCGGGGATACTTACCCTCTTCGCAACATGCAATTTCGTTTTCAAGGAGATTTATGCTGTCGAAAATTTTTTTCTTGGAGTAAGAATTAAACAAAACAAATATCTAACTATTCTTGATCTATTTTTAGTATTTTCAAATTGGTCTTAGTATTTACTGTATTATCATCTCTGTATATATTTTACGATTTCAGTTAAACGACTTGATTGTTGATCATAATACAACAATAACAAATAGTTTAACAAGGGTAAATAATAGTTTTATTTTCCAATTTATTTTTCATGATATATTTCTATATAGGATAATCCAGTTGAAATAAGACCATTGTTGTTATCAGCACGTTCTCTTACATATGAAACATCACAAGATTTATCACATGTACGTATCGATGAAAATCAACCAACACAAGATTTCAAACAAATTCATAGTGTTGATTTAACAAAAAGTAAAAAAGAAAAAAACTATTTTGACATAAATGACTTTTTTATTTTTAGATGTTATTCTACTATCAGATAACTCAAAATATGGTTTAACCAGTCCATCATCATCAACGAAAAATGAAATACCACCTTTATTTTCATTATCAAGTCTGCTTATGCATGATTCATCACCAGATCTATCACGTATACATTTAAATGAAACTCAAACAAGACAACATTTGGAAGAAATTCATGGAGTTGGATTACCAAAAAGTAAATATGAAAAACTACTTTGAAATAAACGAATTTTTATTTTCAGTTGTAATCGTATCATCAAATAAATCAAAACATGGTTCAAGTGGTTTATCATCAATAACAAGTGATATACCACCATTATTATTATCATCACGTCCTCTTCCATCTGATATATCACAAGATTTATCACATGTACGTATCAATGAAAATCAACCAACACAAGATTTCAAACAAATTCATAGTGTTGATTTAACAAAAAGGAAAAAAGAAAAAAACTATTTTGACATAAATGACTTTTTTATTTTTAGATGTTATTACACCATCAGATAAATCAAAATATGATTTAACTAGTTCATCACCATCACGTCCTCCTGTACATGATACATCACAAAATTCATCTATTGATCCAAAAGCATCTGATGCCAAAACTATTCAATAAACTATTTTTTTTTCTTTATATCTATCTTTTTGTCTGCTTATATATTAAAATAAAACATTTTATTCGTGAAAAATGAATATAAAACTTAAATATAACAATAAATATTGCTAATGCTTCTCTGTGATTTTCCATTCTTCTTCCTTAAGTAAGAAATTTCTATAAATATGAGTTTTAAAAAAAATCATTTACTGAGCTTGTATTTACATCAATTAAAAGGGTTAGATCAACTATAATAACGATCACAGAAGCTAATCACCAAATAAAATGGAAAGCGATTCAAATTTAAATGGATTTTAAAGCAATAAATTAGCGATGGTCCAAGGCATCCAACATTGGAATGAGGGGATGTGAAGTTTTTTCTAGCAGAATGTAAAAATAACTTAGTTTCATTATAGAAAATAAGCGAAAATGATCTGATCAGAAATCATCGAATTTTCTTCACTAGAAAAAACTCGCGATGGACCACATAAATGCTATGCTTCGCATCGCATTAATAATTTAGAATAAAAAGATGATGAATCTAATGCATTTAAATCATGTATTGAACAATCAGTTTTAGATAAAATATTAAATTATTATCAAATTGTTGTATGCCATATTTTAATATTTCAGTTTTAATTTTAGTAAAAATATTACTTTTTGTTTCTCGATATTTATAAGTGCATAATTGATATGTTGATCTATAAGAGCAAAACCATAAATTGAATCAAAACGAGAGAAGTTTTTAACAATAGGTACGATTTATTCACCAAGAGAATCTTAAACAAACATAAAAATCTTTTTGTCTCTTATTTGTTTGAGAAAAAAAATATATTCATTAATATCTGTAAATATTTTATAAAATTAGCAATAAGTCAAAGTTGATTAATCATATTTCAATCATTCTTACTCGATGAATTATTTAAATTTTATCAAACAACAACGAAATTTATGATATTCACATAAATCTAGTACACCAACTTAAATAAAAACAAGCAAATAAATCAGGTCGCATATTAATATAAGCTCCTACAATTAATTCTTCATTACTACCATCTGTTATTGAGATTTCTTTTGGTTGAGTAACTTATATTTATATGAAATAAGTCATTCACTACATGCATATAGATCAAGATAAGTATTGACTTTTTTAGATTTATATCCATCTTTATGCCATACTTCACCATATTCAGCACCACCTCAAATATTAGCTACAACAAAAATTTCATCAAAATGATAAATCCAAAAAAGTGCAGCAATCGAAAAGAAAGGTGCTATTGGAATTGAAAGTCCGCCATAGACATATATATATATGTTGAATTTTGACTATTCTTTTGTATAGTTTTTCGATGAACGAGAAACATTGGTACTTTAACTGGATTTGATGAATCTAATCCCTTTTAATCAACAAAAATTTGTTCAGTAGTTAACTCATTGAGATCAACATCTTGAAATTCAGTTCATTTTAAATTTTTTTAATGAATCATCAAGTGATTGTGCAAGATCACATGTATAAATTGTTGTTGGAGAAAAAAATGATTCAAGACGTATAAAAATTTCTGATTCATGTTAATCACCTCTTCAAAACAAAATCAAATAAAAAAGAATTCTCATCTTATATATTTTTCTTTTATCTTACCAAATAGATCTATTACCAATAGGTAAATAAAATTTTCTTAACTGTCGTCCACTTTCCATATCATATAAATGTAAAACTGATTTAACATGTGAAAGATATCGAACAAGAAAATATTTTTCATAAATGTGTTATACCTTCCAATTTCATTTTTATCTTCACTTATTATTTCTTTAATTTCATTTGTTTTTGTATTCATTGTAATAAGACGAACATTTTCCGCTTGTGAATTAGTTCTTAAATAAAATAAATCATCTTCAGATGTTATAAATTCATAAACAAAATCCAAATTAACAATCAGTTTTGACCAATTTGGGTTTTCAACAATTGAATTCGGTGATTTTGATAATGGAACAAACCAAAGTTTAGTTTCTTGTGATATAAATTTTGTTATACTAGCAATTAAATATTTTTCATCATCAGATCTTACAACTGAAAAAAATGTCCACCAAGATCATCTGTACAACGTGCATGACATACATCAGATGAACGAGGTGTATGAAATCGATGAAAATAAACTGCTTGAATATCCGTATGAGTTACTGCAATAGTTGTTGGTGTCACTTCATTTTCTTGCTATTAACAAAAACAAAAATAGATATTAATGGAAAATCGATGTACCAATTTTAGAAAAAAAAAAAAGAGAAACCTTACCTAATCTTCCATCTCTGTATTTTTATTTTCGTTAGTTTTTTGTTCTTTTTTTTTCAGAAATAATTGAATCATTATTTGATGTAGTATTATCAAGTGTACCAGCATATGTTCAATAGAAAATCCCACGATTATCGGTTATCCAACGTAATGATGAGAATTTTGTTCGAGTAATAACATCATCTAATTTATTTTGAGATGCAACATCCATAAAATAAATTGCTGACCAATCTGAAGCAGCATCAGAGACACTATAAATCAAAAAAACATTACTCAACATAAATTGAAACAATTCTTTACTTGTAGCTCAACGTTTTTTCCATCAAATGAGTAATTAAGTGATAGTGTGGTCATAGTTCCATCTTGAAAAAATGTATTTGGATCAATTAAAAGTTTTGCTGGATCAGTTGATTTTGATAGTGAATCAAATCCATCATGACCATCTTGATTTTGAAGACCTTTATTCATAAAAAAATAATATTTTCTATTTGGTTATTTTGATGAACATGGAAATTTTGGAATATTAAATACTTCTTTAAAATGTTCAAAAAATTTTGTTCGACATATAATTTTATTTAAATAAGCTTGACTAATTACATTTTGATCTGAAACAAATATAACTGTTTCTTCAGAATAGAGATGTGCAGGGTTACCCTACCCTACCCTGCAGGGTAGGGTAGGGTCAGGGTAAGCACTGGAAGGGTAGAGCAGGGTCAGGGTATGCATTTGGTGGAGTGCAGTACAATATGATGCAAGTAAAAATCCAGTTGAGTCAGAAAAAGAAAGAAATCATGAATTGATCCAATCATAAATACTGCTAAACCAAAGAAAAAGCCAAAGAAAATGAGAAAGGATGATTATTTACAAGAAGATGTAATGCAAAAATTTGCACTAGCAAGCCAAGATGATTCAAGTGAAGATGATGAAGATGAAATTGAACGTTATGCTAAAGCAAAATTAGTCATTAGTAACGAAGAATTTGTATCACAATGGTGGAAGAAGTGGAGTATAAATTATCCGACGCTAAGTGTTTTAGCAAGATCATTACTAGATATATCAGCTAGTTCGTGCACAAGCGAAAGAATATTCAGTGCCACTGGAAGAATCTCCGAAGAGCGCCGCCAAAACTTAGGTGACGATATTGTAGACAATATCTTGTTCATAATCAATTTTAAAAAGAGTTTATTATAATGTTTTGTAGATTACTTGTAATGAAATAAATGAATAATTTATGGTATTTTATGGTAGTATTTCTTTCTTCAGTTCTAAAGATTTTTCAGGGTAAGGCCAAGGAATATAAAAGTTTTACAGGGTAGGGTAGGGTAAGGGTGAAGAATATAAAAGTTTTACAGGGTGGGGTAGGGTCAGGGTAAAGGACCTACAGAGTAGGGTAGGATAAGGGTGAACGAAAATGCCTTTATCAGGGTACAGGGTCAGAGAAAACTTTACGCTGCACATCTCTACTTCAGAATTAGGATCTTCAAGTCAATGATATAGATTATTAACGATCACAGTGGATGAAGATTTATCACCATATGAATCCCAAATAGATGGATCACAAGATATTGATGGATAAGTAATAATAGATGGTATCTGCAAGCAAAATAAAATTTCTTTCAGTAGTTTCTTTGTCACCTTTTTGCTATATATAGTAGCAACATCGCTAGTGCTAAAAAGTTGGCGTAATTGTTCAAAATGCATTGAACTAACATCTGACGATAGTGATGTGTATAAGGGAGAAGACATTATTTAATATGAGATTTTTTTTATATTAAGAAAGGCTTGATAAAGATCAAATAAAAATCAATAAGAGAATATAATTAGTAAAAGTTCATTAGATAATGATGCGCGCGTACTTTTGTTAGTTTTTATCTTATTAAATTTATTCTGTGCATGCATTTTCCTTTTAATATATATATTGAACTGCTATATGTGCGAATAGTCATTATATGTATTTACATCCTACACGTTTATTTGAATTATCCGGTGACCAAGTTTTTTAAAATTAGAATCATTGGTTTCGATAAGAAAAACTGCAGAGCTAGGCATACATATTCATTTTTCGAATGAAAATAATGTTTGAATGTACACTCCTAATTTTGTTTGTTTTTCTTCATGTCTCTCTTTTGATTTATTTATTTGAACTCAAGTTTAATATGAGATGACTTTGAAAAAGTTTTTTACTAGGTCTCGATACACTGTAAAAAAAAAGGGTTTATGAAAGTGCAACGTGTCACATACCCTTTTTTCCGTTTTTTAAAAATCTGATAAACCCTTTTTCCAAGTCATAAACGCAAAAACCGTTTTTTATCTTCGTCATATACGGAAAAAAGGGTTTATGATACGTTGCACTTTCATAAACCCTTTTTTTGTAATATACCCTATCAAAAACGTTTTTTCCGTTTCTTATTCTGCGGATTTTTTTTTACAGTGTAAGCATGATCATTAAATGACAGTCATTCCTCAACATATTTCTAGATAAAATTATTGACGTATTTCTCTTTATTTAAAACTATTTAGTATCTTGTTCTTTTTGATCAGTAACAACATCTGATGAATTCAAAAAATAGATGTCAAAATTGCTAGTTGATTGTGTAATTTTAAACAAAATCGACAATAAAAAAATGAACTTCGTGAGAATTACATTAAGTTGCACTATATAACATGTGTAAATTCGAAATCAAAAAAGGCTTTTTACTGTTTAATATTTCTGCTTCCATTGAAATAATTGTTTGATTGATTTAAAAACTAGATCTTTGACAGTTGATCTATCGATACTAAAATTAAAAAAAAACATTGACTTTCAGTATGAACAAAGAATGGATCTGCTATGAAACCATTCATATCGTAATTTGTTTCTTGCCATTCACTAAAAAAAACTTTTTCCAAGAACAAAAATCCAACATACTTCCGTTCCGTATGTATTAAAATAACAACTGTAATCCATAACAACGAAAAGTGATGAAAATGGATCTGGTACTTGAACTTGAAGTGTCCAACGTCCACTGTCATCTACAATATAATAGATAATATTATGTCGAAATATAAATGATAAATGATCAGGTGACTCTCGACGATATAATGAAAGTTCATCATCACTCTGATAACTTCATCGAACAAGAATATTATGTCGAAATGTATTATAACGACTTTTGGGACACTGTAAATGTCTAGAATATCATTAAAGTCTTTCAGACACTTATTTAATCTTTGTTGCAGAAGTCTTTGCACAACATGTTTGTTCAATTCTCAACCACGTATAACTCACCGTAGAGAATCAAAAGTTTTCAGACAGAACGAGTATTACATGCTCTTTCTAAATGTATATTCATTTTTTCTGACATATGGTTGTTTCATTAAAAGAATATTCTTGAAGAAAACAAAAGCGATATATGTACAAAATGTCCAGTTATCAAATCTTATTGCATATGTTTGCCCCTTTTTCAGACACTCAGATGCCATTGAGGAGAATGAAAAGTCATTAGTTACAGTCAGAATTTGATGATCTGTACAAATGTGATTTTAGAATTCTTCTCTTACTGAAAACTGATCAACTGTGAGTAAATACCTGAATAAATCAAAAAATGTTTGCATTCAGCAAAGGTGACTATTCATCAGCATTCGAATTTCGGTCTTTTGTAACAGTATGTAACAAGAGTCAAAAATTGTAGATTTGATAGAGTCAACTCGCTCTATAAACTGATGTATAAAAATATTTTTTCATTCTCTGTACTACGAGTTCTATAACTCAAGCAGAAAGGAAATTTTGACCTACCTAGCTTATCATTATGTAAAATATTCATAGCTTTTGAATGCTTAAATGAAACTTGATGAAATATTTAATATAAATAGCCACATTGAAGGACTACATAATGATACATTGGCAAGTCATAAATTGCTTCCTTTCTTGAGTTATAAGACTCATTGTATGAAGAATTGTCATAAATCATAACTTGTCTTCAACTCAAATAACCAACACCAAACTGGTCTCATTGACTTACGTTTCTTATATAGTATATACGCTAAAACTTTCTGACGTCTAGCACTAAAAATGGCTGGGATCACACGGTGGGATATTTTTGACCAATAGTGTATTTTGATGTCAAGTGTTGGTTGAAAACAGTATTTATTTCAGTTTCATGATGAATAAAAACTGTAGACTCCTCTATTATCGAGACAAAAAGATCAATTCGATTGATTAAAGCACAGTGGAGATATTGAAATATTTTATCGTAACGCAATTTATGAGCTACCCTGTATTTGTCTATTGGAATCACTTTATTCTTTTCTTACACATTATTCGTGTTAAGACTGTTCTTCTATATTTAACATGAATGTTATTGCCGTAATTAATATTTTTGAAATATAGAGATTGCGCCAACAATAATATTTGACAAAGTGACTATTAACACACATTGACTAATATGAAATATTACAATAGAAAAAAAAAAGAAAATTTACAAATTTTATATACAGTTTCAGTTATTTCATCAGATCGGTGATCTTCACATAAGGAAAGATAGATATAAGCTAATTTACATAAATTTAAATGATAAAACTGTCAAATGTAACTTTTTATGAAAATTTCTTTTTTAATTCAAACAATGACTTGTTCATATTGATAACGATGATGTAAGAAGGACAGCACACGTTTATATATATGAATTAATTTAACACCCCAGTTGAATAACGAATGACATCTATGCTGTTCATCATTGTCCTATACAAAAATTAGACATAATTAAAAATTTCAAATAATTGTTCTGTTTATTTTATGAAAATTCTATTTCTAGACAAAAAAGTTAATTTTCTCATTAAATAAATACTGTCAATACTTGAATAATTTCAAAGTGTCATTCTTACAGATGTTGTTTTAACATCTGTAATTATTTCGTTAGATTTTGGATTTCTAATAAAATTTTTATAGAAAAATATTTGGATTTGACTTTCTTCTTATAGAAAAATCTCATCATTATCAGAATGGACTAAAAATTACAGTGAAAATTAATTTTTTTTTTAATGAAGTAAAAGTATCCAAGAATGAAAAAAACACGAGAAAGAGATAGAATACATTTTAACTAAATATTGTAGTGTATTATAAGACTTAAAAGACATTTTTATGAAAAGAAATTCAAGTCTAAATATTTCTTTTCATATCTGTTTAAATATTTTGCATTAAACCTACAGCCTAGTAATATTACTATATCTTGAACAGTAAGATATTCGTATGAAATAACTATCTTGATTTTTAATCTTATGAATGTCTGTTTCTGTTCTTCTCTGGAAAATATCATTAGTCTTGAGATCTTTATTATTAATTTGCTACAACGAAGAAGCTTTCACCGATCAGCGAGTGAATGATGATGAATTAAAACAACAATATATTCTCTTATCAAGAATTATTGATAGGAAAATATCTCATGCAACATAATATCGACATAGCATGAAAACAACATGCTGACTTTATGCTAACAATTACCTGTGTCTTGTTCTCTTTAAATGGTTTATAAACAGTATAATTATATGTGCAACGAATGACCACATATAATGTTATGAACAGGATAAATAGGCAAAAAATACCAAAGCAAATAAAAGCAATACCATATGCCATGTCCGAATAATTGTTTGTACTTGTTAATTGATATTTCTATATGAGAAAGAAGAAAGAAAAATAACTTATTTTTTGTTTTTTAGCATAATTCCAACATAGATTTTTCTATAATCATTTTTATGGTAATCCCGAAGAATTTTGTGGTTCTTTTTATTTCAGTTTTTACTTCCTCTTTTGTATTTGCACTTATATAGATAAAGTTTTCTGGTTATCTTCGTTTCAATGTTCATATATAGTTGTAACGGAAATAATATTTAAATTTGTACTTACTGATCTATAAAAATTGTATACTAATAATCGCGCAAATTTTCTGCTTCTACTGATGGGTTAGATTGCAGTTTTAAGTCTATATTTTTTATGAATGCAAACTCGTATTTAAAGTTTTTCAGATTGCTTTTAATATACCATTGTTCATAGATGACTATAATTATAAATGATTTCTTTACTCTTTTTAATTTAAGTCATTAAATATCTGTATTTTGTTCTCATAGTCTCATTTGATAGATATAAATAATATTATTCTAAAAATGTGCTAGTCATAAAATAAATTATACTAAGTAAAATATTATTTGATTATCATGTTCAATAGTTCTGTATAATTCGCCCCGAACAAGTCAATGTTGTTTCCTTGCAATAGCAGAGAACAAGATAAAGGGTTGGCGAACAGATAGAGAAGAGAAATCGTTATTTGGGTGATGATTTATTGCACTACGGCTGTGAGAATAGTTAAGTTGTTCGGAGGGAATCATAGAGCATCCTTGAAAACTCCTTATCGGCACGGATTACATTATCCTTTGTCCATACAATAGTGGAAAATATGATGACCCAAATAAGTTTCTTTTTTCTCTTTAGTATAGGTATCAGAATTAGATAATTATAATGTAATAATCCAAAGAAAATATGGCTGATTGAATTAAGCATAGATCAGTGAAAAATCTGCTCAACTGCAGTGCGGGTACTCAGCTAATTGGTACCGGCGCATACCTAGCAACACTTCGACTTCATGCCAGAGCAGGGGAAAATCCTTTTTTTTGGTACGATGAGGTCATGAATGGATATATTATGAGGTTATGCATGGAATATCATACCGGTTGACACGAAAGAAGACAGAAGTATACACTACCTCAGCTCGGTTGTTGTAGTTGAGAAAGAGATACCGCAATGATAGAAGAGTTTGTACAGAGAAGGGACTTAGTCGATCTCCTCGACCCACACTACTTGTTACAATTAATTTTCCTTTTTACGTAGATTTTACAATTGGCTATGAAAGAAAATATTTAATATATAATCATTTGCATAGCTGTCAATATATCTTAAGTAACGGGTGGCGCAGAATAAATTAGACTGTTAGTATTTTTATAATTTCTCCCCTATTATCCCCATGATGGAGACACGGTTTTTTTTATCAAAAGATAGCGCTTGAAATTCTCTACAAAACTATGTATGNTTTTATAATTTCTCCCCTATTATCCCCATGATGGAGACACGTTTTTTTATCAAAAGATAGCGCTTGAAATTCTCTACAAAACTATGTATGATTAGGCCCAAAAACTGTCTTAGATATATTTGAAAATAGATGAAAAGTAACGACATACAAAAAGCTGTAAAACGTAACGGGTTGGGCATACCGAGTGACCGCGCTTTGCATTTAATTTTTCTATCACTTACTTCATCCTATTAGAAAAACAAAATATATCAAAAGATGCAGTGTGAAAAGCTCTACAAGTTACCAGGAAAAATTATAAAAAGAGGAAATAAACAAAAAAAACAAATTCATCGTCTACCAAAAATTAGATTATTTTCGCAGGATCGAAATTTGGCCGCTCAAAATTTTGTCCATTTTCAAAACAAAAAGTACGACTATAAAATAAGCGATCTTATGTAAATTGTGGAGCTTTACACGCTGCATCTTTTGTTTTTCTAATATGACGAAGTAAGGGATAGAAAAATTAGATGCACGCACGTTCATTCATTATGTCCAACCCGTTCTTTTTTACAGCTTTTTATATGTCGTTACTTTTCATCTCTTTTCAAATATATCTAAAAAAATTTTTTGGATCTAATCATACATAGTTTTGTAGAGAATTTCAAGCGCTATCTTTTGATAAAAAAAACCGTGTCTCCATCATGGGGATAATAGGGGAGAAATTATAAAAATACTAACAGTCTAATTTATTCTGCGCCAACCGTTAGTTTCTGTCTTAACTATGTCGAAGTTCTAAACAACAGAGTTGATTTATCATCAATCTAAATAGTAGTGGCATAACAGTTCTCAGATCCAAGTTCAGATCAAATGAACGAAAGAACTGTTCAAGTAGATCAGATCTAAGGAACTGTCATACCCATAGTAAACAGTGGTATCTATTCATATAGAGATTTAATTACATAAAATATTTCTTTAAGCTAAGACTCAATTTATTGACACTAGTATATACCTATATATTTTTAATTGCATTCCATTCATATGCAACATCATTTACTCAACTTTATAAAAGTACTATCTAGACAGACGCCCAACACTTGAAGACATGTGTAAGATATTTATAAAACTAATCTTTTCTAGTCACAATTCGAACTTTGAATGGTGACAAAAAAACTAGAAAAAAATCTCAAAGCGGTGTCATTTCATACAACAAAACATGTTCACACTGATATTCGATTGCTTCTCGTCGAAAAACGCTTTGAAAGTCAATCTTTTACATATTCTTACACTTTCTGTGAAAATTCTGAGATGCTGTATTTTCTTCTAAATGATGTCTTTTACTCTCTGAAAGTTGTTTTGGTAACAAGTATTAATACATGCAGAAGTATAATCTTGTTCATAAAAGGTTTTTCTTTAATAGCACAGAAATACAATACTACAAAGAAGTTATTCTTACTTACCATATAATAAATACCATCTTTTAAAGCAAAAAAAGACCCCAAAACGCTGTTAATAATCATCAAAATTGCTGCTAAAACTAAATATTTATTCGCAGCTATGTATTGCTTCTCATTCTTGCTGTCATTTTCCTTTGAATAAAAGAAAAAACGAATTATCATTAATCACAAAAGTATGAGTAGGGTTTCTTCAGTAGATTCTTTGTTCGATTCAATTTAGGTTTCAGTTCGTTTATAAATTCCAAACTCACAAAATTGCAAGTATTTTATCACAAAATATGTGAAAAAAAGTTATAAAAGAAAAGGATGTTCGCATAAGTCAGAAAACAAGCTATATACTACTCAGCCATTTTATGCAATATAATCTGAAGAAATATTTAAGTATAAAATCAAAATGTAAACCTATTTGAATCCTCCTATACCTTTTCAGATACCTTCGTCACTCCCTGCTGCTTCTTTTTCTTCTTCATAAGCCGCAATAGGTATACTTACAAAATAGGAATTTACTGTGAGATTATTGTAACACTCAATTATATTCTATATAGAGAAGTTCAACTGTTTTTTCTTTTCAATTTATCTCTTCTACCTAAAAGTTTCTATGATGATTTATAAAGAAGAATAAAAAAAAATGAGCATCTTTTGCTTTCTTTCGATATTAACTGAAACTTTATAAGTATATATCGATATATATATATATATATTAGTTTACTAAAGACATACGCCATCAACAACATGTGGTAATTGACAAAACTCAAGACGTACTGCTAAATTCTCTCGTTTACATTAATGAGCAGTTTTACCCGTATTTCATATTTTAATTCCATAGAGATTGTTCTAGTATTTATTCTCAAATCAAAGCATATAAGCATATAAATAGAATAGAACTTTAAATTCACTTACAGTTGTATAATTATCAACTTGAACAATCATCACTTGACAATTCACAATTGATGAAATATCTGAAAAACAAAAGTGATGAAAAGAAAAATGGCAAAAATTAAATAAGTATATTTTTTTAGTTATACAGCTTTTAATAATTCTAAAGATCGAAATCAAAGAATACGAAAACATAAAGATTCATTGATTTCATTTGCCAAAAGAATCTATGAGAATAATGAATTTATGTTAAAATTCTAAACACTTGTACAGTATTATGTTGCACGTGTAAAATTGGCAATTTTCATCTTATGTTAATAAAAAGTTTCAGATTTTTGGAATTTTAATTTATAATATATCTTTGAACAAAACATTCATTGAGATATTATTAACAAATATAGGCTTTAAACAAAATTATTTACTTTGTCTTTTATCATAAAATAAATAGGAAGTTTTGAAGTTATCCAGATTTAGATGTGAAAATCATCGAATATGAAGTATTTGTTTATTCTTGTTAGTACTTGTTCTTACAAGAATAATTCTATCAAAAAGAAAAACTTAAGTTAAACCTAGACTACTAAAAACAGAAAAATCGAATTTGAATGAATAACAAAGTCAAATAAAAATGCCTCCTATGACATAATGTAAAACAACAATATCATTAAGCTATATATTAAGATCTTGTTGTACAAAAGGAATGATGTATTGAAAATGTAAAATAGTATACACTTAAATATAATATAATCTTTTTTCAGATTTTACTTCTGCATGCTATCATTCCTATTTAGCAAATTGATACTCATCCGCAACATGAGCTGTTGTTTTATTGAAGAGAAAGACAAACAAATACTCGTTTTATTAAGGAGAGGAAAGTATAGGACAAAAAATGTCTAATAAGAGGAAAAGAAAAATAATACTTGATAGAGGGCGTTAGATGTTCTTGATTGATATCCACTCGATCCAAAAAATATCAATAAAAACACCACTGTGAAGCTAGCCGAATGACCAACAGAATATGTCCGACCATTCCGTCAATCAGAATACGAGCAGAAAATACCTATATCGATCCACAAAATACCATATTTATCCCCTAACAACCATTGAAAAATTACAAGAAGTCATATCACAAGCAACTCTACACTGTAAAAAATGCCATCCGTCTTACAAGACGGTGCATCCGTCTAAAGTCTTATTCAGACGCGAAATACGTCTTGTTTTTAGACATGTAGTGACTATAGACAGGAAAGCGTCTTAAGTTCCTCTTTCTCTTAAAACATTGTTATAGCTATTGACCAATAGATAATTTTTTTTACTTTCTTTCGTAGCTATGAGAATTTACTTTCGGATGTGAAACAAAGAGTCTTATTCGATTTCTTGAAAATATTTAGGATTTCACTCTTTCCACAACTAGTTTTTCCGATGACTTTTCTGCCGTGAACTACTTCACATTTTAACTCGAGTTGAGGATATTCGTGGTTTTGAAGAAATCCATATCTCTTGATTCGATATCTGAAGTGAAGGGACTTTAAAAATATGCAAACCATTTTACTGAAATTTCTTTTTTTATTTATTTCTAATATATTTTCAAGTTTTTTATTTGTTTTCTAGATGATAGAAAAATTATCAAAAATAACTGATTACAGTTATATTTTAATATTGTATATTTAAAAAATACTTAAGACTTTTATTTTTTTCCGTTTTAGACTTGTGTTGCATGAGTTTTCCCAGACGCTTCTATCAATCTATGGTTCACTGATTCAAGAATTCATATTTTTATATGAACATTCGATATTAGAAAAAATATTTTCAATGAAATAATTTTTTTGCACGTTACTTCAGGTGAAATTATATTTTAAAATTACAGAAATTA